TATTAAAACCATTATCATAACCTTGTCCCTAATGTCATCAATGTTAAGACCAAAGGACTTAATGGAATCAACCAAAACATTGAAGAGCCCGAGAACCGATGTGTCATCATCTACCTTTAGAAAACCAAGAAAGTACTCCTCTATTTTAATTTTACCTTCACTCATGTTAACACATCAAACCAACAAAGTCATTTGTTCTTGATGACTAACATCCGGGGTGCAATCAAGAATAATCGAGAAATATTTGGCCTCTTTAACAATCTTGATGATAGAATTTGTAATGTCAGAAGCCATAAGAGAAATCAACTCATTCTGAATTTTATGGCTAAGATAATGATAATGAAGATCATTATTTTGAATACGTCTAAAATGATCTTGCATTACCAAATCAAACTCTGCGACCATCTCAACACAAGCTAAGAAATTGCCATTTTGGTCATTATAAAGTCGCTCGTTAGATCCTCTAAAAGCCAAATTACGCCTACCAAGGAATTTTACAATGGCAACTATTCTCATCAAGATTTGCCTCATCCGCTCTTTCTCCTTGGAGATTTGTCTTTGTAACTCTTTATCAATTGTCTCTTGTTTGCCTAATCTAGTTCTCAATTCATTCCATGAGTTCATATTGGTAATATGCTCATGAAGAATTTCATGTTCCTTCACCTCTCATTGATATGTTTCCGGTCTCTATACCCATCATTCCCCAATGAACTCTTGCACTTTTTAGAATTAAAAAGCTTACAGCAAAAGCAAAATACTTTATCCAAGTGTTTGGAATAAACTAGCCATTTCCTGTCACGTAGCTCTCCATTACTCATTTTTCTATGATAATGAGAATATGCAAAATGCCTTAAATTATCGTCGAAAGGGAATACAATATTATCTTCTCTTATAGGCCCTTTTCAACTAATATATCCCTTGCTTTGTTATCAAGATTATCCCAATTTCTTGGATCATAAATATCCATGTGACACACCGGTTCCTCATCAAGACTACTATTTTCTGTAGTATTTGAATTAAATATGTGCTCATCATTACTCACATTGTTTTCTTCCATGTTAATGCCAACATTGTCATCAGGAGGACCTTCATCTTCTAGAATAATCTGTGTTGGTTCCTTCCAGACAACTATCGCCAACTCGTTTGGATCTCTTGAAGTGTTTGGATTATTCTTCAAAATTTATGCATAGAACCCCTCTCTGTGATTGTATGAACTCATCTATTCGTGCTTTCTTTTTTCCTTTTCTCACTGCCGGAAGCATACTTTCTTAATGACATGATGCTGTTAAGATTTAGAGAAACAATTAGCTAAAAAAAGTAACTCATCTAGACATCTAGTACTCGCCAGGCTCAGTGTGGCTCACCGCGATTCGTCGTCGCTCGTCTGGGTCGGGCGGTGTCGCGGAGATCGCAGAGCGCGTCGGCAGCGTCGCGTGGCGTCGAGTCCAGCGTCTCGCGGAGTCGTGGTCTCGCCTCGCGCTGTCGCGCAGGCGCAACAGCCGCGCCCTCGCGTCTCATGTTGCCGGTCGCCGCCGCCGTCGCGCAGGCTCAACAGCCGCGCCCTGGAGGAGTCTGCGTGTGGGCGTGTGGCTTCTCACGGAAGCTAGCTCTTTCTTTCTGTCAGCAGTTCATCCTTGATCCTTCTCGCGGACGCCAGGAGGCCCAGGACTGCAGGCCACCAACGTTCAGTAATCAGTACTGGACTACTGGGCCAAATCCAAATACTAATATGACTGGTAATGGGCCAAATCCAAATACTAATAGGCCACCAACGTTCAGTACTGCAGTTCATCCTTGATCCTTCCGTATGACCGTATCCTGCATACTTGGGGTGGGGCCCTACCTAGTTGGGGGCCCAGGGCGGCCGCCCCGCTTGCCCGCATCCAGGGCCAGGCCTGAGGGTATGCCGGGTAGGCATACCCTGCAAAACCAGCGGCAAGTAGTATATATATACTATATAACATGATGGGAGGCCCGTGTAACGCGGCCCACTCGGCAAGTGAACCCATACAGTATGTGCGCTCTGAGTCTCCGACTCTGTACACAACGTTTCAGTTTTTTAATTTGAGTACGGAGCCACGGAAGAACACACCGCCTGCGCCTGACGCCCTGACCGGATGAGTCGAGTCAGTGCCGCCCTGCCGCCCTGGGCCCTGGTGCCTGCCGACTGCCGCCCTCCGTCCTGCTCTAAATTGGAGGATCGCCGTCTATTTCTCGCACGTCTCGTCTGCAAATATTTACGATAATTTAATATTAGCTCTTCAGGTTTTTATCGAAAATTATTGTTTAGCCTTTTGAATGATTGTCTAGTCACTTTCGTTGAGCGGGATATTTTTTTAAAGTCGATGAAAATGATATAGTCAAGACATTCATGTCCTTCGTAAACGTCGAATAAACCAGTGAGAAAAATAGCATTGTAAGTCTCTGGTACTCTTTTATGTCTATATTTAAACTATTTATATTGTATTTAGTGGAGGGTCTGAATCTAATCCTTAAATTTATTGAATTACATTATAAAATTTACAATTATTATTGAATTACTAAAATGGATTTGCTGAATTATATATGAAATTTTTTAAGCGGCATATCCTAAACTAAAATTCTAGATTCGCCACTGCTCACCACAGTATAGCTTTGATTATTCTTAATTTGAAGTAGTGAAGTGGCGGGCGGCGCGCACGTACGCTCGATGCCCGCAACAGAAGGGTGATCAGATCAAGACGTGCCAACCAACACACTGCTCTCGAGTTTCGAGTCCACGGCGGTGTGTATGGCTAGGATGGAAGTGATGATGGAGGGCAGCTAGCACCAGCAGGCCCCCGTCCGGTCAGTCGATCGTGCTGCCGCAAGTGGAGTGTTAGACCGTCTCCAACAACCGTGACCTAAAATAAAAGGCTCATTCATCATTTAGGTAGCGCTATAAGCAAAGAGTTTAATATCTATTTTTGGTCTTTTTCAACAATAAGACCCAAAAGACAGAGATGGGGGGCGCCGCAGGAGATGGCGGCAGCAACGCACCGGAGTGGGCCGCGGCGCGGGATGGAGGTGCCGCGGGGGATGGCGGCGGTACCACGGCCGAGTGGGGCGGGCGGCCACACAGTGCAGCGCGGAGTGGCGCAGAGTGGGGAGAGAAGTGGGCGCGCTGCAACACGGGATGGGGGCGGATGCAGCGTCGCCGCGCTGGAGAAGGCCACGGCGAGCGGCCTCGTGTTGGAGAAGGGAGCAGCGTTGTCTTTTTTTTTAGAAGCGGACTGACGAGTGGCGCTGGATAAGGCAGAGTGCTGGTGCGTGGCGTTCAGACGGACAGACGCTCGCGTCATATCACTATCGAATAGAAAACCACCTTTAAAACCTGATAGAGGAACAAAGTTGTCTGGTTTCGATGGTTGGAGGACACCTATTACCTAGTTTTGGGTTGAAAATCGTACTTTCATGTAACTTGGAGAGTTGGTGGTTGAAAATTACCCTTCGTTGTTTTACCTAGCAAGCCATGGCTCAGACCGACAATGAGAGTGAGCTTCATTATCAGGTTAACATAATCCCAATTATTATTGTTTAGATCTTAGGCTTACAACCCAGCAACGAAGTGGGATCACTGCCGGCTTCAGCGCTCCCGGCAGTGATGAGCTGACAGGGATTGTGTGTTATGCAGTAGTAAAGAACGCCACCAAACCTTGCACTACCTGCGCTGCCATCGAGCCTATTGTGCTCGAGCATCCACCTTCTCTCATGAGGCCTCCACCCGTCGTTGTCAAGCTTCCTCGCCACTGCAGGTACCACCCCGGCCGCCATTCGCCTCCTGCAGGGTTCGAGCTTCCCTGCCCTCACTCCACCAGAACCGTCATCACCATCAGCTCTTGTACCATGTTGTAGTAATTTGTCAGGATTTTGGGTTCATCAGAGGTGGGGAGATCTTTTCTAAAGCTTCTAAGGCCTCCATTCTTCTTCTATCTCCCTTGCTACTAACAAAAGGGTTACGTATTAATAACATATTATCACTTGCCGCAGTATAGCTTTGATTATTCTTAATTTGAAGTAGTGAAGTGGCGGGCGCGCACGTACGCTCGATGCCCGCAACAGAAGGGTGATCAGATCAAGACGTGCCAACCAACACACTGCTCTCGAGTTTCGAGTCCACGGCGGTGTGTATAGCTAGGATGGAAGTGACGATGGAGGGCAGCTAGCACCAGCAGGGGCCCCCGTCCGGTCAGTCGATCGTGCTGCCGCAAGTGGAGTGTAAGACTTACTCGAACGACCGTGATCCAAAATAAAATATCTATTCATCTTTTAGACAGCACTATAAGTAAAATATTTAATACATATTTTTGGTCTTCTTCAATAATAAGACTTAAAAGACAACTTTTTCTTTAAATGAATCTCTAGAAAAAGGATACTCAAATTTAGATTATGTCTCTTCCAGCACCCAAAATAAATCTTCCATATAGGTACTCTGTTAGATGCTATTGTGTTGGAGACCCATTTTTAGTTTAGGTCTCCTGATGGATCACCCGTTGGAGATAGCCTAAGGACAATGATGCCTTCCACTGGAGCCGCGCCCACGCGCGACAGAGACGCACCAACCGCATACTCAGCCGAACATAGAACCGATATATTTCCTCCGTCCATGAAAAAAATGCAATTCTCGTTTTTCGAGAACTCAAACAATTTAAACTTTGACCAAAATTATATAAAAAAATACTAACATTCATGATGCAAAATTAGTATAATTAGACTAGTCATAAAATATATTTTCATAATAAATTTATTTAGAGATAAATATTAATATTATTTACTATAAATTTAATTAAACTAGTTTGAGCTAACTTGACCAACACACATCCTATAATTGCATGTTTCTTCGACGGAGGGAGTATATAAGTACGTTGCCTGGGTATCGTCGTCGACACACACCGGCACCGGCGGCAGGGCCGGCATTCTTGCATGCAGAGCCGTTTGATCAGGGGTAGCTAGGACAGTGGACAGCCAAGCAGCGGCTGGGGATGGCGAAGGCGCACGTCCTGCTGTGGCCAAGTGCGGCAGTGGCGGTGGCCGTGGCCGTTGCCGTGATGAGCGTCGTCACCGCGGAGCTGGCAGCGGTGCCGGTGAGCGGCAACGGCAGCGCCGTGGGCACCCTCGTGGGGTTGCCGCTGCTGATGGCGGCATGTGGCACCAGGGTGGAGGATCAGGAGGCCGCCGAGATGGACTCGGAGGCGCACCGTGTGGTGGCACTAACGGTGCACGGCGCGCAGGGGACCCAACCCGCTCGACGCAGACAGACCTGCGTGCCCGGAAACTTGTGGTGCCAGAGGTGATCCATATGTGCATGTGCCCCGCCCCTGTAGCAAATATTATCATTGCGCTTAATAGTCCGTCGCCATAGAGACAAAGGGGAGGAGGTGTTGTAATCTATTCCTTACGTTCTAAATTATAAGATATTTTGGCTTTATATATATATATATATATATCTTTTGCTATGCATTTAGATATACATTATGTCTAAATACATAGCAAAAATAATATATTTAGAAAAGTCAAAAATATTTTATAATTTAGAACGGAGAGAGTATATCTTACATCTATCTATATCGATATCAATACCTATATCTGTATATATATATATATATATATATATATATATATATATATATATATATATATATATATATATATATATATATATATATATGTACGTACTTATATGCCTAATATTAAAGTGCGAAGTGACTCTTCCACCTATTCTTTTTTACTTCTCATCAAAGTGCCCTCACGTCTCTCCTTAACCGTACTTGATCTGGACTCTTAATCTATGCTCAAACCAGTTAGAATACCGTGTCTATGCAACGACGGTACATAGTTCTATTCCAATACGTATTGAAACAGATAATGTAGCCGTTACGAAAATCTCCAAGCCACAAATCACTTAGGTGGCCGTGAAACAAGATATACGTTCTGTTTGCAACACATATATGTTTGCTACTAGTAATATATACTAGCAAAATTGTTCATACATTGCTACAGATGAAAGAAAATTTGGTCCATGATACCGATATGAAAAATACTTTGATCAAAATTTTTATTCCTAAGTCTAATCAACCCGTGACACCTTCCATTGGCCTCCTTAGAGTCAACGTCATTGCGCAACAAGTATTCTACACCAAGGGTTCCTCTTTTTCCCTCATGTTCCGTACCGATGTTGGGCGTGTTTATTTCCGCTTATAATCAGAATTGAGGTGAAAATAAGCGTGAAGAATCTCACCCAAATACCTTCGATTATTTTAGATTCTCTCACAATCGGGGAGGTGAAAAAAATCCCAAATGAACTAGTAGCGGCGTTTTCCTCGTTGCCACGGGGGATTTTCCTCACCGCAACCTCCCTCTGGCGTTTTCTCCACCACGGGGGGTTTTCCTCTCGTTGCCCTCTGGTCCGGTCTCCTGTCTGCTCCTCTACTCCGCTCCGCTGTAGTCGACTGCGTTGAAGGAGATGTCGGTCCTCGGTCACCCCTCGGTCGGAGAAGCCCCTCATGGATGGATGCGTCGGCCCTCGAGATCCGTCCGCTATCTCGCTGGTGGATGGATGCGTCGGCTCTCGTCGGAGATGCGTCCGCTCCAGTCCCAGCGAGATCCGTCCGCTGCCCCGCTGGGCACCCTCGTGGATGTGTCAGCCATCGAAGGAGATGCCGGTAAGGCCATGGGATGGCTGAGAAAGTCAGTGGTGCCAGAGGGTGATTTGAGAAAGAAGAAGGGCACATATGTTTTTTTATACCCTCAATTGCTATATAATCAGGATTGCCAAATAGTCCCGATTGTGTTTAGACAGCAGATTCTTTAGATCGCAACTCATCAGAAAATCTTGATCAGATTAAAATCGATTTTCAGATAAGCGTTCCCAAACATGGCCTTTAATTGTTGCACGGAATTCTAAATATACGACATCTATAGTGAGGCTCAGGCACTGATTATCTAATAATCCTAGGCCCCCCTTGGAACAATAGTGAGAACCTGCATGAAATCTCCACCGAACACTACAGTCGTCCCCCGAACGGAAGCTTGGGTTGGTCCATTATATATTACAAAGGCTATTGTCTAGTGTCTTGACGGCTTGCCTCTTTGTCATGGTAGTCTCGTCCCAAATAGTGAGAGATGCAATTTGGAGGAGCTTAGCAGTACCACTCTGTTTTGTAAAGTTTTGTGAAGCTAAAAAAATCCACATCGTCAATGATAAGGGGAATCTTGAAGCGTGAGTGGACAGCTGCAACCAGACAATATTGAGTCAGCAACACTAAATATAGTTGTTGCCACGTCAGTCTTGTTTTGGTTGTGTATTGTTGCAGTAGAGCCTTGTAAATCTTTCCGGTGGCACTAGGTCAATCTACAAAGAACAAACCCCCATGTTTAGTATCAACAATAGACATAATCTAATCATAGATGGACCGCTGCTCCTCATTAGGTGTTTGATTCCATCTGGAGTCTCAAAATTCAATTAAAATAGTAGAATATAAGGCTTCATATGTGACAAGACCTTGTCTCCAAGACTTGAGGTTTGTCTTTAGATACGTACCATTGCAATAGAGCTCCATGATATAATTTGAAGTCTATCTAGAAAACTTATTTTTCACATTATTTAAAGAGAATTGCCTAGAATCACCCAAGTAGATCGTCACCAAGTAAAGAATAATTTCGATAGTTTTTTTAATCAAGAAGTTGGTAGAAGTAAAAATCCAAATATGTACACTATCAAACTCTGATGCAGCCCACCAACAAATAAGAAAGTGTGGATGAGAAAATGAGTATAGTGTTCTGTTCTTCTATCCTAATTCTGTACAATAAATAAGAACATGTTTTGTCCATCAGAAATTTTAACAAGCAGTAACAATTGAAAGCTGTAGTATCTAATCCTCTTGTCAGACATCAATAGGCTGCAATCTAGTAGTCACTGAAATGTTGTAGACCAGTTGCATCAGGAAGTGGCAGAAACCTTTCAGGTTTGGATTCTAAAAATTGTGTCAAGGAACCCAAGGACTTGTTTGGTTCAAGCCCTAGAGTAAATTTGTCTAATCTGAATCTTGCCTGCAAGTTGACTGGAATTAGTTTGGTTGGTGTCCTGAACCTTGCCTGCAAGTTGACTAGGATACGTTTGGTTGGTGTCCTGAGTAGCAGTAGCTGCCTGTACCAGGCTGGTGCGGCGATGTCAAGGCCATTGAAATCGAGCGCCTAGCAGCGCCGGTGTTGCCTATAGATGGCCATATGGCCCAAAGCCCATGGGTATGGCCCATGGCCCTCCATTTTGGTCTGGCCCACGCACAGCTCGGACACGACAGTTCGATGGAAGGGTCGTGCCTGGGCCGGTCCCTCAGCAGGGCATGCTAGCTCGACACGGCCCTGTTAGAGGCTAGCCTGACGTGGCCCACTAGCTTTCAATATATATATTCTTCAAACCCTAATTCCATACCCCTAATCAGTAGTCACCTCCCATGTCTCCCCTGGTCTCGATCCGCGTCGAAAGATCCTATGCCCCCTTCTCTCGACTCCTGCGTCGGTCCCCCTTCTCCCGACTCCCACACCAGGATCTCGTGTCGTCTCCTCGCACCCACTTCTCCCCTCCTCATCCCCTATCTGCGGAGGGGCGACGGCGCAGTGACAGACAGCGTGACGATGGTGGCACGGTGATGGCCCCCTCCTCCCCGGATCCGCACAAGGGCGACGGCACAGCCACACAACAACGACCAGAGTGGCCTCGGTGAGCCCATCGGGCCATCGAGCCGGCCAGGCATGGCTAAGACGTTGTAGGGTTGTGCCTAAGGGGCTGTTTAGTTCCCGTCCAAAACGTCAAATTTTTCAAGATTCTTCGTCACATCAAATCTTTGGACGCATGCATGAAGCATTAAATATAAATAAAAAATAAAACTAATTATACAGTTTAGACGAAATCCACGAGACGAATCTTTTAAGCCTAATTAGACGATGATTGGACACTAATTACCAAATAACAATAAAAACGCTACAGTAACATTTTGCCAAAAATTTTGGCAACTAAACTGGGCCTAAGCCGGAAGCACAGCCCATGGGTAGGCACCACATGACACGATGTTTTAACAGGGTCGTGTCGGCTGACCCTTATCAAGTCATGCCTCAACGGGTCTAGACCGTACCGCCCATTTAGCCATCTATAATGTTATCTGATCTAATTGCTCTGATTAGTTGATTGACTGGTAGAAATAACATGTAGCTCGTGTTAGCTTCTTTGTCTCTACCTTTTCTCTTGTTTCTTTTTTGTGGTTTGTTCCTATATCTCTTAAATTAATTGCATGGCCTTTTTCATCACGGTGATTAGTTGCTTGATGACCGTGAACGTATCTGTTATAATCATGATATACATACCTAATTATTTCCTTGCAAATACTTTGTCGCTCTTGGGGCAACTCCAAAAGTTCCCAAGAATTTCTTCCCAAAACCATAAAGTTTTCCAACTCGCCAAAAAGTATCAAGGGGAATAAATAAGATCATCTCCAACAATAATTCACTGCTCAAACATAGAAGACAATTATACATCAGGAATCATATATTATTTCTAAATTATCCTAACCATTTTTATATATTCTTTCTCTCTTGTACATTTACATCAGGAACGCTTATTCTTTCCCACACCTTTTCACTTTTAGATTGGCCGATGGATACGCGAGTGGTAGGCGTGCGGATATATCTACGTGATCGGACGATTTTTCCAAGCACGGAAAGATTGGGAGTTCAGATAGGGAGTTGTTGGAGAGCAATTTTTTTTTCAATCTTGCAAAAAAAACTCAAGATTGGGAGTGGTTTTTGGAAACTCTTGGAGATGCTCTTACTTGTTTGTCGGTGTTTCGAGTAAACACCAACAAGCAAATTTTTAATATTGCGCGTCTGGTTCAGATGGTGTGCTAAGAGGACATGAGGTTTATACTGGTTCGGGCGTAATGTCCCTACGTCCAGTTCGTTGCTGCTGCTCGTGTTACTAGCACTGAAAAGTTCGTAGTAGGGGTTACAAACAGAAGAGAGAGGGACAGGTCCCAAGTCTCTGGTGGAAAGAACGAAGGGGTACCGAGAGCTCGGTCGCTGCTCGGCTATGTGTTCGAGGCTCGATGCTAGTGGTTTTGGTCAGATGCGGTGCAATGTATTCTCGTGTGATGCGATGTCCCTTAATGGGACGCCCTGCTTTCCCTTTTATAGGCCAAGGAAAAGCACGGGTTACAACGGGGTAAAAGAGGAGAACGAGAGGGAGAGGAAGTGCTTTAGGGTTGTCGAGCCTTTCTTTTCCTCTATGCAGGCCCCGCTGACA